AGACGCGGTTCATTCTCGTCTTCTTCGCATCTTTCAGCAGTGAGCCGCGGTTGATACGTCAGGCTCTCGTCGGCTGTGGCCATCTATCAGCAGTGCGTGTGCAGATTTCGAGATATTCCTTCCACGCGCTTACAGATCATCTCAGGATTTTCGGTCAAGAATGGCCCGCGCAAAGCCTGGTTCAATGAAGTTGAACCTCTCTCAGTGGCATTCTTGGGTCGAACATGAGTCGATAAAGCGGTGAGAGCACCTATTCTTGTCGAAGACTTCGCCGCTGGCTGACATCATCAAGTCTCATGTGCTGCTGTATGGTTCTCGGTAATCTTCTCGTCATAGCCTACGGTATCGTGCCAGGCTTCGCAGCGCTAGAGGAGTGCAACATTGAGATGCCCGCTGAAGATGAACTATGGGATGCCATGAGTGCTTCTGAATGGAGGTCGTCTCTGCAAAGACGACTGCCTTCTTCGCCCCTAGGTCTTCGTCAAGCAACAGCTTGGATATTTGGTAACAGCGCACAGGAAGAAAGACTAGACGCAAGCTGGACGTGGTCACCTTTCGCAGCGTCAATCGTGATGCACCAAGTTGCCATCGTCGTTTGGTTCTTCGCCCACGGGAAAGAGGCCTGCTACGGAACGACACAAAGCTATCGAGAAAGCCACCAGTCTGACGCCAAGAGAATAGAGGCTGCTCTATCGAGGTGCAGAGATCTGCTAACCGAGACACGCGATGGCAACGACGGCACATGGACTGAAGCTGACGGTCCATTGTTGTTTAACGCATTTGCCGTTTTGCGTGTTTCGTACGGCCGAGCGTTCATCAACTTCCAGTCGTTAGATCGCTCGCTACTCTTTCAGGAGAGTAGCCAGGATATGTTAATCATCTTGCAACGCTACTTTGACGCTGCTCAAGAGCGGGATGGTTACATGACCATGGCTGTCGACTGTGCTCTGGAAGGCTTTGCGATACCCATTCGAGCCGGAGTCTTGCTCACGCAAAAGACGGCGGCGTTGAAGTGGAGTGTTGAACATGCTTTGGCGGGATGGGATGCCGGTATGTCCTGATGCTTTCGTAAAGTTTTCGCCATGACGAAGACGTTTTTGTACTGACCTTGTCAGCCCTTCTAGTAACGAAGTGGGTTCATACGGTCGAATGTCTGCAGTCTACGAGTGGAAAGACTACGCCAGAAGAAACAAAGGTCCTCGATAACGTTCGGTATCTTCTCAGCCAGATTGACGTTGATCGTTCTCCATCTTGTTCTCTCGCTGCGGATCTTGCTCGTGTCTGGGCTGGACTCTATGACGATACTTGGGTTTGGGGTGGTGAGTATTGCTCGAATCTATCCTTGACTTCCTATTGCTGAAATCCAATCAATAGTCGCACCACGTATGAGCTGGGTTCTCCGCGAGCTTGCCAAGTTGTATGAGCAGGACGCTTCTGGTATCTAGAGGCAGAAAGCAACTTAATGTAGTTGCCCGTCTTCTGTTCGGCAGTGGTGCTGTTATGTTGTACTTAAGTACTTGCCTTATGCTACCGTGTCAAGAATATAAAGCGTAAAGAAAACTCAGAAATTATTCTCGGTAATAAATCACGCTTCTGACTAGTACTGTTTCCATCTCGTAGCAACGTCTCTATCTTTATATAATAATTCACAAGCAGACACATCACGGGCGTATCTTATGCACGGCATTTTTGCTTAAGATAAACCAAGATAACACAATGATCGGCAGGAAAACAAGGAGGGCTCTCAGGCAGGCCCTTTCAGCTATCTTTTTTCTCATTCCGGTTGCCTGTCCTGCGGTTCCTTGAGAATATCGAAGTTCCATCTGCCCCAGTCAAAAGCCCCCTCCATCCCACATTGCCTAATTAGGCAACAAAACCATCCCGCCCCAACAACAAACGTCGTTACGGTCACACGAACCCGAGCTAAGACATGCCACCGACATGGCACGAATACTGTTCTCATTATGGCAAACTACAAAGGGCCGGTAGCTCAAGTTCAGGGGATATGGCAGCTCTTAACTGACGTACACTGTGAGAACCATCAAGAGCATTGCCAGCTCAAGACCCCACCTTCAATCCCACCGGTGTGACTCTCCGTGCTCGTATGTATGTACGGACTACGGAGTCTTGAAGTGCGATGAGAGCAGAGTTTTCCTTGTTACAGGGAGACATACATGGCAGTGCCAAGTTCCGATGATATATACGACGAACTCATTGGACCATGGCGGTCAAAACCTCTGACAGCAGACATCAAGTACGCGGCGGATGCCCAAGGTACTCCACTCGATGACATACAGCCGGCCTTTTACACGGAGATCTTGGCCCCTGATAAAGACAGTAGTAGGTCCAGGGACGGGCCGACCTCTGCACCTCAAGTAACAATCGGGATGTCGCGGTGTGATAGGACCCCGATCAATGTTATATAAAATAACCCTAAAGCAATCATTTTCCCGAACTCGCTTACCAACTACCGACCAATTTGGAGGACAACTTGACTTCAATACCAAACCCACTACGTTGAACATCAACATGTCGCTATCCTGGAGCAGCTGGCTCGCCACACTAGAGCCGCAACAGTCAGCTCTCGGCCTGCTCTTTGTCGTCCTCTCCTTGACACTCGCTTATGTCTCCATACCAGGACGCCACGACCACCTCCCTTACATCAACCGGCCCCCAAAGTGGGATTTCCTTGGCCAGAAGACCAAACAACATTTCGTCAGCAATGCCCGAAGCCTGATGGCCAATGCTCGGGAGGCCTTCAAAGGCAAGCCCTACCGAATGTTCACCGACTTGGGGGATCTCATTGTTATTCCGGCGCACCACGCCGATGAGATGCGCAATGAGCGATCTCTGGACTTCCTCGAAGCCTTTGTCGATAATTTTCACCCCGACATTCCCGGATTCGAGGGATTTACGTTCGATGGCCGAAAGGACCAGTTGCTTCACAAGACGATCAACAAGAAGATTACCAAGATGCTCAGTATGTCTCGTACACCTTGTCGGAGGTTCATTTGCTTACCAATTCCTTGTCAAGATGAGATCACTGCACCACTGTCGCTGGAAGCTGACTTTGCTACGCGCCTGATTCTCGGAATTTCGACAGGTAAGCCATCTTATGGTATGGGAAAAGGCTTAGCTAAAGGAAATAGGTTGGCGTGAGATTCCGCTTCAAGAAGCGCTTCTCAACCTTGTCGCTCGTCTATCTTCCCGTGTGTTTCTTGGCGATGAACTCTGTCGAAACGATGCATGGATCAAAATCACTGGCTCTTATAGCATCAACACTTTCTCAAGCGCAGAAGTCCTTCGACAGTACCCTCATTATCTTCGCCACATCGCCTGCTATTTTATTCCGCAATGCCGACTACTCAGAGAACAAGTTGCAGAGGCACGACGCGTTCTCAACCCGGTACTGGAAAAGCGAGAATGGGAGAAGAAGACAGCCTTGGCTGAGGGGAGGACTGAGCCTTCGTACAAAGACGCGATTCAATGGGTCATGGAAGAAGCTCAGGGCAGTACTTTTGACCCAGTAGGAGCCCAACTTGGTCTCTCTGTGGTGGCTATTCATACCACTACTGACCTCGCAACGGAAACGATGCTTCGACTGATGGTCAGACCACAGTTGATGGAGGATGTTCGTGCTGAGATTGTGGCGGTCCTCCGGAAGGAGGGCTGGACCAAGTCTGCTTTGTTCAACATGAAGCTGCTTGACAGTGTCATCAAGGAGGCGCAGAGACTTAAGCCGACAACGTCTGGTAAGTGACTTTGAACTCCTTTCAGGTGTCTGAGCAACATCGACTGATTGTTTCCTAGCGACAATGAATCGGAAAGCCACTAGCCAAGTCAAGCTTCCTGGGGGATTGGTCCTTGAGAAGGGAGACCGCTGCATGGCAGACCTCGGCTCGATGGTGGACCCCAACGTATATCCAGATCCTCTTGAGTTTGACGGGTATCGATTCTTCCGGATGCGTGGAGACCCCAAGATGGATAGCAAGGCTCATCTGGTGAGCACATCAGTGTCCCATATGGGATTCGGCCATGGCCTACACGCGTGCCCTGGGAGATTTTTTGCCTCCAACGAGGTCAAGGTTCTCTTGTGTCACTTGCTGCACAAATACGACTGGAAGCTTGACAGTGGATTCGAGCATACGATTCATGAATTCGGCCTTTCCTTATCGTCGGGTAGTACAAAGGCTTTTGTCGCGAGGCGACAGAATGTGGAGATTGACATTGACGCGTGGTAAAGTGAGGAGGTTTTGCTCGGGATTCGGGGAAAAGGTCGATCATGAACAGAGAGAGTGTGGGCAGGCACTTGATAAAGTACTTAAGTAGTAAAGGATACGGCGCAACTACGTGTATGGCATCATTTTCTGTAAATTCATGAGGAAGTCACCACAGCGACTCCGTCGTTGCACTATTCCTGGATCTTGTCTCTGCCGCCGGGGTCGATGTACGTGATAAGAGAGCCATCGTCGCTGCGTCATCCCATGTGGTAACAGGGATTGACCCTGCTGGCCGTCTGGGCAAGGGAATCGAGTCAGGAGCTATCCCAACGTCCTCCTTCTGGCTTTTGCCCATATCACCCCACCGATTCAATATCTCACCTATCCCACGTAGGAAATAAGGCCGCTTAGACCGCTTTCTTGCGTCACTGTCCGGTCAATGAATCTGTATCGGGGGCTTCCATGGGGAGTCCTCCGGGACTTCCTAAGGGCCTCCCGAAACCGGCTTCGCCTGAAGCCATTGTCAGTTTGGATAATGACGGCGCGGCGGGAGGCTTGGCTCCAGTGTTTAAATATCGTCTCATAGCCATCTCTATCCTATCGTGAACGACGCCTGCTCTCAGCTTTTCATTCACAGCCAAGTCCTATCTATCCAACTCAGACGTCCACTCCTTAACGCCATGCTACAACGACTTGCCATCCTCGCCTCGGCAGTGGGCATCTGCCATGTAACAACTCAGATCGTCACCGGCGCCACTCTTTTCGTCGGAGACTCGACGTGGCGCGCTCGAGGCCATCCCGTATCTGGGAAGTTTCCATGCGAGTGATGTCGTGTTGAACTTCTTCGGTACGCTGCCGGCGAACAATTCGCGCCATATAATGGGTACCCTGATTGCGTTCGTCAACAACCTGGATCCCAACAAGCACAACATGAGCGATGTGCCTGCTTGGCCGCAATATGAGTCGACCAGTCGGTCAACAATCCTGTGGAGCGAGGCCGGCGCAGAGATTGTAGCTGATGACCTTACGCGAAGAGGCGATCACGTACCTGAATGAGATTGGGGAATCCTTGCGGATCTAAGCCTGCAGCCGGGAAATGATGCGATATCGTATTTTGAACCGTATCACATTTATGCCTGTATATATCTTATAATTCATGAATGACTCCAATGAGAGCCGACTTCAGCACATTATGCTCTCGAACCAGATCAAGCATTTTTCGCAGCCTATGATCCGCTAGAATTTGTTGTCCATTTGCAGAACGTTTCGTTCTTAGTTGGGTTCACCCTCAGAACAGGATCTTCATCACTGACCACAAAGGGAACGCATCATGTTTTCAACTTGTTCTTTGTTGACTATTAGCATGCTTGTACTCCTATGTACATTCATCTACGTATTACTACAGAATGAGCCAGTCTTTTAACTGCAAGCTTCGTCCGCCCCTTTAGGCGCCTCCTCGGTCTGCACCCCTCTCAAGAACTCTCCGATTCTCGTAGCCACAGCTTGTGCGCTCTCGGTCCAGCCAATAATGGCGCCCATCAGCAGCGTATCATGAACAGCATTCTCCTCATACGATACTGTGACGCTGCTCTCGGCCTCCTGCATCTGCCGGCACCACGCAGTACCGTCCGTCTCAAGGATCTCAGCTTCACCCATCGACACGAAGATAGGCACCTTGGTTCCCCAGGCGTTGCCAAGAGGCGTCACATACGGCATGTTATCATCAGAAACGCCGGCCGAGTACACCTTTGCGCCCCAGCGCAAGAACGAGACGGGAAGGTAGTCGGTGCTCCAGTGCTCATGCTGCTTGTACACCGAATCCGGACCCAAGCTGGCCAAGGGGTTGACCCAGGGAGCGATGAGCACCGCGCAGCTAGGGATAGCAATTCCGAGGTCCGGTCCGTAGGTATCGAGGTAGCGCAGCAGGGCGATCACAAGGTTGCCGCCCGCACTGTCGCCGCAAAGCACGATACGGTTGGACGGGATATTGAGGGTCCGAGTCAGGTGGAGGTAGCTGGTCAGGACATCTTGCAACGCAGCGGGAAACGGGTTCGCGGCCGCCTCGGAACCGCTGCCGTAGCCTGACAACCGGTATTGAGGCGCAAAGACAGCGCCGGCGCCGGCCTTTTCGATGAGCGTGTTTGCCATGAAGCCGCAATATCCCGTGCGGCCGTCACCCAGCACAAATGCACCGCCGTGAATTTGCAGAACCACGTTGCCTTCGAAGCCCTTCTCGACGTCCGGCTTGGCCGGGAACCAAGTGCCCCCCACGGTGGTGGGCTTCACATCAGAGTTCGAGGCCAGAGGACCGAGGTAGAGATCTGAAGGGAAGGGGTCGGCGGTCTGGAAGCGGTCGCCCTCCTTTCCTGGCTTGAGGGTATGAGTCTCGGTGATGCCTACGTTCGAGTAGAGATTAACGATGCTTCGCGTCAAGCGCGCCATGAGGGCCTGTTTGAAGCCCCATTTCGGGTGAGGACGGCAGGAGGGAATCAGCGCCTTGATGGCCCATATCGGCAAGCAGGGGAAGAGAATGAAGAGGGTGCCGAAGATCTGATAGAAGATGCGTAGAGGTTGATAGGAGAGAATAGGGAAACTTCCCCCCTGAGTGCCGGCCATCGTGAGTGATCGCTGTGTAACTGCGACGTAAAGAGGTGAGTATCTTGGTAGAAAGTTACAGAGTTACAGAGATTTCGAGTGAGTATATGAAAGCCGCGGTACAACTATGTCGATCGATCACCAGGGTCACAAAGGGGAAGCAGTCAGCAGAAGCCCATCAGACGGGTGCGATATACTGACGAGAGGATAACTGCGCTTAATACTTGCTGTAACAGATCGTCAATGATACAGTTCAGGCATAGTTCGTCTTCCCTTTTCCCATTCGAGAAAGTAATCTGCTGGGGGCAGCAAAAACCCATGAAAACTCTGCATGTTTTTCTGTTTCCGCGAACCACGATTTCTTCAGAGTTCGGGACTAGAGTCCGGCATCCAGGGGTGAGGCTCGACATTTCTAAGGAGTATTCCGTCCGACCTGGACCTGGTTGACAGTTCGAATTTCTTCAATGCGGCTCCGCTCAGATCCAATTCTCGATGCAAAATCAATTTCAATCATACTGCGCCAGACATGAAGCCCGCGATTTGATACCTCTTGATAGGGTAATATTTGGTGATGGTGGACTCTTGAGGGGCCTTGGCGAGTCATGTCCTTCGTTCGAGTGTGGTGTTGGAGTGGACAGTTGAATGGAGTCTAGTAGCACGGAGAGTGGGCGTCACCTGACTCGCAATTCCGAGTGACAAACGAATCTCTGCACCGGCAAGCAGGTCTCTTCGAGGCCAGCAGCTAGGGTAGTATGCACGGCATTGGCCCGTATGCGACTTTGCAAACCTACAACGGGCAATTCTCTCGCAGTCTTGTCCCTCGAGCGTGCGACGACACCACTCTGAGGGCACAGGCATTACGACATGTTTCCAGATTTTGACCATTCTAGACTGATGCTAGACTGATGTCTATCAACGGGGCGCGCCCGACATCCCAAGGATCGAGACCGGACTTTGGTTCTGCCCCCCATGGGTCACTAAAGAAGCTTTCATCGTGCATAAACAATACCGTCCACCGATTCCCGCGATATTCTTCACCTTCCTGCTCTGGTCATTACATTGACAATTGTTGGTTGGGTTTATTGGCGAATCTGCTCTGTTTGACCGGATACACGACTCAGGTCAGACCAGAGACGCTTCATGTTTAAATAGGAAAATGGCTTCGACGACGACATCGACGAGCAGCAACGATCCGCATACAGACACGGCAATCATCGCCATCAATGTTGTGCTTGCGGTGATAGCCACCATCACCTGTATCGGACGATTCTGGGCACGAAAGCTCACGGGTTTGGGATGGGGTCTCGACGACTGGCTGGCGTTGGTCAGTCTGATCATTAACCATGCCTTTTGTGCCACGACTATCGAGGCAACGGTCCACGGCGGCTTGGGACGAAGCATCGTTGATGTGATGGCTGAAGACCCAAATCAGCTGATCACGTTCTTGAAGGTTTGATGCAGTTCTCACTCCCTATAGCACTCCGTCAGCCGTGGAAAACTAACCCTTACTGCAGTGCGTTGTCGTCGCCGAGTTCTGCTACGGCTTTTCCTCGCCATTGATCAAGTTGTCTCTGCTGGCCTTCTACTGGCGCGTCTTCCCCACGCCGTTCATGCAAAAGGGCATCTACGCGCTCTCCGCAGCATGCTTGGGTTGGCTCATCGCCATCTTGATCACCAACTGCTTGCAATGCCGCCCACTTGCATACACGTGGGAACAAACGACGAACCCAGGCGCGGGTACCTGCATCGATCTGATTCTCTACTTCGTTGGCAACTCGATCGCCAACAGTCTAATCGACATCCTCACGCTTGTGCTTCCGATCCGCGAGACCATGAAGCTACAGGTTAGCTCGAGCAAGAGAGTCGGCATCTGCTGCCTTTTCGCGCTAGGGAGTCTGTGAGTAGACCTCGAAAAAAATCTGAACACGCGTCTGTGGGCACAACCTAACAAAGTGAGACAGTGTGGTGGTTGCTAGTCTGGTGCGGTTCGGCTCGTTAGCCTCCCTCTACTCAATAGGCGTAACAGACATGACACGTACGTAAACACCCGCATCTTCTTCAACCACAAAACATTTGGCGCTAATTCGCTCAACTATTAGAGCAATACGCTCTTATGTGGACCGCCACCGTCGTGGAGATCTACATCGCCATCATCGGCGCTTGCGCCGTCACTCTCGTTCCGGTCTACCGCAGAATCCGTTACGGCACGCCGTGGTCGACCCGGGACCATAAATCCAACCAAGTCTCGGGCGGACCTGCAACTTTCGGAGGTACTGGCGGCAACTCGCGCCCTGGCGTCTCTCACAACTTCAAGCGCTCCGCGAACCATGAGCGTCTGACTACCGGTAATGATTCCGAAGAGTATCTGCACCACGGTAGCAACATGAAGTACTCGGTCTCTGGGGCTACCAGAACCAGCGACAAGCGTGACGTTCTCGGTGAGGACTTGCCCATGGACACCATCGTCGTCCAGAGGGATGTCACGTGGGAAGAAGAGCGAAAGGAGAGGCAGCATGTTTAGGTGTTATAAGATACCATGTAATTTGTTGTATTTCCACTGATGGTAGCCTTTTCTTTTTGTCTTTGAACGCTGAACACGATACCGTTGGAGGGAATTGGAACTTGGAAGATACCTTAGTTACTTAGATTGTGCGATAGAACTCGCCTCTGGAATAATCATATTCGACCCGTCTCGAACAGCTTCAAGTTTGCTCACATAACAACAAGTCATGTGTCCTCGCACTTTGTCTTGCTCCGCCAGCCCTCATGTGGTGGGACTACTCCGTACACTCTCCACCATCCACAAGCAGGATAACGTTTTGACTGTGTCAGATTGGGCATCTTTTTCGCATTCGAGCATGAACACGTGGAGAAAGTTTCAAACCCATGGCCAGAGTCACGTCCGTGCCCTTGAGAGAGTTTTGTTTGTCATCCACCAACGGAGGCCTGTTGCTCCCGATTTTAATATCGGCGGCATCCCGGTGCCGCGTGGTCCACCCTCGTAGAATGACAGCCAGGGGTCAACTTGATGCCCTGCGATGTTGAGACTCGTACAAGGGGTTTGCAGAGGGCATCGACATTCCGTTGGTTGCCGATGCACAGTTAATGCAAGATGTACTGGATCAGTGATCAGAGACTATACCTAGAGATCGAGATAAGGAGTCAAGGACTCATCTTGATACTCATCTTGAAGGGGCATGCAATGCTGAACCTTCATCTGTCGGCCCCTGATCCGAACTCCGGAGAGTTTTCGGAGAAATTAACGCCGACGTGGCAGCGATGTAATCCATACACCGCCCGATATCGACCTGAGAGGGGTAGATATTATCCAAACTCAGTGATCGTCGTCCACGTTGGGCAATTCTCCAAGGGTATAGCTCAAAAGGGATAAATTGTAATTTGGCCTACCCAGACAACATATTAACCCAGAAGTCCCCGGTCACCAGACTCAACTTCATTAATGATGTGGAATAACGCTGGTCGTCAACGAGAATTTCTTTTTGAGCGTTAGCCATGACTAGCTAAAAGCATGCCCGTAATATGATGGCCCTTGCCCTACGTTAATTGGGGATTGAAAGGATAGTACTCTGTAGGACGGGGCAAGTTCCGTTCATTGAAGTCTTCTTTCGCACTTCTCAGGATGATCGCAATCGAGCAGTGAGGATCCGGAACGATCGGCGTATTCGTAAGAAAATGGAGGAGCAGATTGAGTTCATTGAATATATCTATCATGCCCCTTCAATTCGAGCGTTCGTGAGTATCATCCAGGAACCAGCTTCATTCTTTTGCTCTCTGCGGTGCACTGATTTTGTTCAGTTTCTGTATTCTCGGATATCCAACTGACGGGTTGAGTATACTCAACTCCGACCTATATTCCTTGATCACATCTGTCACTCCATTCATTTATTGTGTCGTCCAAGTGGCTTAGGCTCACGGCCCTACTTGCGGCATCCCACTCTACCCTAGTTGCTGCGAAGCCCATCACATCTCGTGAAACCTTGAAGCCCAAGGTCGAGATCATCTACGCCAATTTAACAGGGCGTATGAACGGAAACATCCAGGGGTTCTTGGGCACGTGGCCATGATTCAACAGAAATGTCAACAATTTCACCGCAAGTGTCAGTGCTAACTCATCCAAGGCATTCCCTTCGCCTCGGGCGCCCTCGCCGATACAGTCTTCAACCTCATCGGCCGAGCCCGCAGCGAGGACTGCCTCCTCATCAACGTCCAGACCCCCGTTGGCACCACTAAGGGCGACAAGTTCCCAGTGGTGATTTGAATCCATGGTGGCGGCTACGAGGTTGGCAGCCCCTTCACCAACACCAGTGAGACGGATGTGATCCGCGGTGAGCTGCTCAACTACAACGTCGGTGGCCTCGTCCGGACCTCTGTTGACCTGGGCCAGCCCATCATCGGCGTCTCGGCAAACTACCGCCTCAATGCCATTGGCTTCTCTGCTTCGCGGGAGATGAAGGAGGGTTGGGGCTTCTCAACTTCGGCCTCGAGGACTAGCGGGTAGCGATGCAGTGGGTGCAGGAGCACATTGCTGACTTTGGCGGCGACCCTGACCAGGTCGTCATCATGGGCGAGTCGGCTGGTAGCTGGCCCGTCGTTGCGCATTTACTCTAGGACGAGGGCGAGGGCGCTACTGACTTGTTCCGCGGTGCCATGGCCTTGTCTAGTGGCCCGGTCATGGTTGAGAGTGCTGAGAGGGCTCAGCCTTTCTTTGATCACATGGTCGAGAGGACGGGATGTGCAGATGCATCGGACAAGATTGCTTGTCTGAAGGTTACCGACTTTGACGATATCATGGCCTCCGTCAACGAAGAGGGAATGCGTAAGTTCAATGTCGGTATGAGTCGTATCTTGATATTGTGCTAACAACATACTTCTAACTGGTCCTCGGGCCTCATTCCCTTGCCTCGACATGGACTCTCCGTCCCGACGGGAAGCACCTCAAGGACTCTCCCCACCGTCTGGCCGCAGCCGGCAAGATGGCCTCGGTGCCACTGATCACTGGCGACATGCGCGACGAGGGCACGCTCTTCTCTCTCCTCGCTCAGCTCGAGACTCTCTCGGATGAGGACTTTGCCGACTACTTCCAGACAATCTGGTGGCCCAAGGCTTCTGACGCCGACATTGCCGGCCTCATGAAGCTCTACCCCGCAGACATCACCAAAGGCTCCCCCTTCGGCACAGGCATCCTCAATGCCGTCACGCCTAAGTTCAAGCGCCTGGCCGCCGTGGTAGGCGACTTCAGCTTCCAGGCGCAGCGACGCAACCTTCTAGCACATTACAACGTCTCGGAGCAGACTGTTTGGAACTACGTCACCGACGTGAGCATCCCGTCGGCAGGCCTGCTGCCAGACTTCGACGTGTTGACGCACCTGCCTGTGCTGGGATCATTCCATGCCTTTGACGTGCGGTTCTACATGTTTGCCGGTCTGCCGTATGCGTTGAGCAAGAATACGTAGGCTTACCAGGTCACCGCCATCTCTTTCATCCGCACGCTGAACCCCAACAACCATAGTCTGGACTTTGCCGAGTGGCCGAGATACTCTGAAGAGGGCTTGGAGACGTATAACTTCAAGGAAAGCGGGCCTGAGGTGACCAGGGACGACTGGCGTGTTGAGGCTATGCAGTACATCAACGACCACCCTGACTCTTTCTTGCTTTAGAGACCTGTGCTCTGTTAATTGTGTTTCAAAGATGTCTCTGATCTCATTTGATGTTTACTGAACATACTTCAGGTATGTATGTAGCCACGGCGAGATTGTCCATGAGCTTATTCTTCCTAGCCTGAAAGACGCATATAGATGGCCAAGAAGAGGATTCGGGTGCGCCTGGTACTCAAGATATCTATATTACAACTTGATTGGAGAGCTATCTGTTTACCCCCTATAAGATGCTGGGTGCGGAACTATGGTCTATTGATGACAATATAATATTTTCCTATTTCATACACCCTCCTTACCTTATCACCACGCTTGGCTACACTCCGGGATAAGGATTGGTACGACAGACACTAGTAACAGACATGTACATATGTACATGAATATTAAGCTCCTTAATTTGACCACAAGTAGTTCAAAACTCAGAGGCAGTCCAGGGGCAATTTCAAGCATTAAGAGATTCACAACTCAACTTGGGCCGTCAGCGGCTAGGCTTTACGCCGTTTTGAATTACTATTCCGACAACGGGATTTAAACTCGACATTGATTTATTCTGATGCTAGGTTGTAACTATATTCAGATACGATTCCTGTGTAATGAGAGTTTATGATAAAGGCTAATTGAAAGTCTAATGATTCAGAAATAGAAGGTTAGGTCTGTCTGTCTAAACATCCAGTTATGTACAGTAATTACCAGAAACACAAGGGAATGAGTGAGCCTCGATGTCGACTAGAGTCCGGATGACTACGCGCGGCAAAGACGTCCAACGGAGTCTTCTTGCCACTTATCGCTTCCCACACAAGTTGGGCAGTAGAAGAGCTCCCCAGGGTCGTAGTACTCCTTGATGCACTGAAGCCTGTTGTAGTTGGCGCCATAGTAATCCACCTTCCAGTCCGGGTCAAAAGCATCACCCTCATTCATGTACGCTCCCATGTTCGGAGCCAAGGTCTTCATAGCGCCAATCTTATTGAACGTGACGTCGTCGTGAACCTCCTTGAAGCGGGCATCGCTGACGCCGGGGCTGAGAATACGCGCGACAGACTGGTGCAAGACGGCCGTACGCCAGGCGGGGAGAACGGCGGAGTACTCCTGAGCTGCGTCGGCCCAGACTTGGCCACCAGAGACGATGGAGATGACATTTGTGACGTATTCGCCCGTCTTTCCGGCCAGCGTCTCGACTAGACCACGGACGGCTGTGAAGTTACTGACGGCGTCCGTATCCAGGAGGCGAGATCCAGAGGCGGCCATGAGGCCGACGGGGTTGTTATCGGCGCTAACCTCCTGGAAGAAGGTCCAGTAGTCGCCATAAGTTACATAGCTCGAATTTACAAAGAGCGTGTCGTTGAACTTGTAAATCTTGTCGAGAAGGCCCTTGCCAGCGGCTTCTGCTTCCTCAGCGGTCTTGTTGAACACGTAGACGGCATGGGAATATGCCGTGGTGTAGTTGTTGAAGGAAGCAGACTGGCCGTCGGTCTGCCAGTGGCTATAGCCGGCAAAACCAGACTCCACCAACTCCGGGATCGAGGTGTAAAGAGTTGCAAGCGCATCCAGGAAAGCGGTTTTGGGGGTTCCGGTGGGGGCCGCGAACTGGAGGTTCTGAACGGCCACGGTGACCTGCGGATACGTCTTGACCGTAGTTGACACGATGACACCGTAGGAGCTGGGACCTCCGCCACGGATAGCATAGTAAAGGTCCTGATGCTGGCAAGCGTTGACTGTGACAGCAGTGCCGTTGGCAAGGATGAGCTCAGCCTCAAGCACCTGGTCAGCGCCGAGACCGAAAGTATGGCTGGCCGGGCCATGGCCGCCGCCCTGCATCCACCCTCCCGTGCTGCAGACGGTCGAACTTCCTCCACCCACGACGACGACGTTGTTTTCCTTTGCGGCCGCGTAGCTCTCTCCCCACATGTACGCGCCGGCAAGCTTCATGGCGCTGCCGGTCCATCCTGAGGCTGTGCAGCCGGTGGAGGACTGGAAAGAGGTTTGCGGGGTGATGCCGTTGCGGAAGTAACGAAGCCAAATCTCCAAGCCGCCGAAACCGTCGCTGCGGCCGAGTACGTCGTGCCCGGTGCTCTTGATCACGACTCTCAGGTTCTTCTCCTCTGCGAACTTGAGAGCTGCGACGATGTCGTCGGTCTCTGTCACGTTCACAGCGTATACAGGGTTCGTGCCGAGGGTACAAGAGCCTCCTCCGTCGGTCGAGTTCGATGTAGGTTGAACGGGAGGGCATGTGATGTTCAGGGGGTAGTCCAGGCCGACGGGGTGCGATGACATCCATTCTCCCTTGTACCAGTCCACCATAACACTGGCGCACAACGTTGCGTCATAATTAGGACCTGCGTAACAAGAGATGGCGACCGGTTTGGTCGCTATGAGCTTCCCCGAGAGAGTAGCGTTGAACTGCTGCCAGTCACTTGTAGATGGCCAGCAAGCGTCGTTTGGTGCCTGTTGCAAAATGCCGTCCGAAGCGGCCTTGTGTCAGTCCATCTGAGACGAATAGTCGGGATGTTGAATTGATCCATCTTGGCGGGGGAACATAAACTTACACACTTGCATGAACTATTCGTAGCGATGGCACCAAATGCAAAGTTAAGTGCAGAAAGCGCCCGTATCAAGTTGTTTCGTAACATTTTGGATTTCTGCCGTGGAGGTGCCAAGAGCTGCAACGATGAACAAACTTAAAGAAGGTTTCAGTCCCAGGTGAGGAGTGTGATATCAGAGAGCTGGGAGATAAACCAGATATAGTCCTGTCGATATTCTCGTTGCCATCTACGGACGAGTTCTTATCCGTCTGCTAGCCAGGTCACGAGCCATGTCTTGTGCAAGCTAGGCATTTTCGATGCCGAACAACCGGTCAAATTTTGGATACGCCTCATTGGGTTGAAGTCATAACAACCACCCGAGTGCTAACACGGAGGCGAAGACGAGGCCGCGGATCGCGGTCAATGTGCGGACATTGTGCAAGACCATTGGCTAGGAGCTAGTGGCTATGGGGGTCGTAATAAGCTCTATGTGTGGCTGAGGACAGGGGACGCGAGAGCGAGGACGAGTCACGAGAGCGAGTTGGCTCCTTGGTGACTGACTAAGTACGTGATTTGCATGGAGAAGTAGAAGATCACCCTACCTTTCATCTCCCTAGCCACTGCATTAGGATACGTTCTTATGGGGCACTTCCGAGGTGACTCTTATGTGGCGGTGGTTGAACTCGATGAACTAAGAAACGGATCTTTCTAAAGAGACATCTTGATACCAAATGTAGCGCCAGTTTTGTTCACGCGTCACACCGAAACTTACACGACCTCCCAGCATGTCAGCAAGACTTCGTAATCCAATGTTCATGGACGAAGAAGGGAAGAAAACATGCTAAGTGTTCTGATCCAGAAGGACTTCTTCGAGATGAACGTACAACAGGTACACCCAGCTCTGAAACAAGATCGAAAGAAACAAGCAGCTAAGATTGCCATCGATGTGAACAACAGCTGCGGGAAGAATCAAAGAGGTACGACCCACTGATAATTGCGATACCCACCCACTAGACCCGCCGAGCGACTCACTCGGCGAAAAGCTCCCTTGTACGGAGTGCCCCGGAATCCACCCTGGACGGCCCGGGAACCGTTACTGCCCGAAGCCAAGAACGCCACAATGCGGATCGGTGCTTCAACTGCCGCCGCCCGCTGGATTGTCTCGCGGACTTAAGTTTCTGCGATCTAGTGACAAGGGGATGAGGGGGCGCAGGAACGAGGCGAGGTGAACCAAGCTCCTAGCTACTGTGTTACCAAGCTCTAATATGCTTCCCGGCCGACGATAGAGTGCGAGAGCGAGGTATGGATACAAGCTGTTAGCGGCAACAATATAAATAAGCAACGACTACGATTAGGCAGCGTGGCAGCCAAGGGGCTAATCAGCGCATCCCGCACGAAGGTTTGTAAAGTCATCTATCCTAAATCCTTGACGCTAGCAAGGGGTTACGTTGATTATCTACCGGCGCAGGGCCATACAACGTGATGCCTTTTAGTAGCGCCTACACAGCCCGTCTTTAAACGTACGGAGTAATCCTGAGTCTCTTATTAGTAATTACTGCACTGGCTTGCAAGCGCAGGTTATAATTGAGTTCCGCGACCCCAGGGTTTTTGTGGGGGAGTGCGACGTCAAGCCCAATCTTAATCATGTAAAACGACTGAGAGCGAGACCGAGACCGAGAAACTGGGGGAGCTGACATTGAGAAACGTTGCAACTCTGTTCACCACCCGGGCCCGGCGCAGCTACGCGAGCACGGCGTCGGTCAAAGTCTACGATGCTGTAGTCCGCAACGCTTCATTCGCGCATGGCGTTGCTTCAACAACAACTCGATTAGAGTTGCGAGGCGACATGCCCAGACATGAAGCGAATACTCTCATCCTAGCAGCATCGCCTCTGAACGTATAACTATTTGGAGTTTCCCGACAGTAGCAAAGATCTGTATCACTCTCCAATCAACCTCACCTTTCAATCAACTACTATCCTCGAGCATTCATTCAGTGTCTAATTCAAACAACAAGATGTCTATGCCAGCACCCTCCAAGCCCCTTGGGGCCCTTGACTTCAGCTCCGTCAGCTACGGAAATAAGGCCCAGCGCTTTACAGCACAGAGCAACCTCGCACGGCTGATCCTTGCCGATAAGCTACAGGTAATAACCCCACGAAGAGGTCAACCATTGGAGGGGCCCCTTTCACTAACACGAGAGTGACCGGGGTTTAGGCATTCCAAGAGCTCAAGGTACTGGCAAAGGTGACATTTGCCGAAGGCGACTTCACGGACCCCGATCCCGTCTACATCGACGCCCGCTCCAGCCCGGTCAAGCTCCTCGACTCGGCCCCCACCGACGGCGCCGAGCCCGCCTTTGAGCTCACATGGCGCCCAGAGCGCTTCGAGGACCTGGTCGAGGGCCGCGATGACCCGCAGACCGCCGTATTTATGTCGGCCGTCCCCACCAAAGGAGACTACCCCCTGGCCATCCGCTTCGCAG